TCTCGCCTCAGGGGTCCACTCGGCCCAACGGCAACCCCCCTCGCGGGTGCGCCCACGCAAGATCAGACTCAGAGTGTCTATGACACTGCAGCGGGATCAAACTGGGGCGGCTTGGGATCACCTGCGCTGAGAGCAGCACCTGGCCCACCTGCGCCAGCGCCGCCAACGCAGGAAACATTCGCAGCAGCAATCATGGACTCAGGCGCCGTTTCCGACGCCATCAGCTCATTCGGCGAAGGGGGGATAGCCGCCGACGGCCCCCAGTTACACGACGCTCCCGTGGAATAGTGTGGCGTGCTTGTCTTGGGCTCACGGGCGCGCCAAAACACGATGGCAACGTTTCGACGACCGCGAGGCCACGCGCCTCGTCTGGTGGGTTTTTGGGCTGAAAGGCAAGGGCCATGGCAAAAAACACCGAGCTTTCTTGGCCGATTTGTCCGTGAATGACATCCGAGGGACATTCTCGGGCTTGGCGTGGGTTCGGGACGCGAGGCAACCTTGTGGGCCCTGGCGGGGTGCGTCTCACATGCCGCGAGTGTGAGTCAGAGGAGTGCCTCGTGCGCGACTGCCCCCGACGCCGCAACCAAGGGCGCGCCCTCTTCCTCGGCGCCGCGCAATGGGCTGGGACAGCATCGTCTTCGCCCTTGTCGCCCAGCCCGCGCGACGCCGAACGTGCTGCGAAGTTGCGAGAGGAGATGGGTGACCTCATGTTCCGCGCGCGAGCCTCTGTTCAGCCGGCGGGTCCTACGACTGCGTCGCAGGCCCACGCGGCGGCAGCGGGGGAACCAGCGCCAGCCACGCCTGCGGCGCTGGCAGTTCCAGCAACATCACCTACACCGCCGCATTGGATCGGGTTTGCGGTGCGTTCCCTCTGGGAGAGGCTCGTGGGCGCCACTTGTGGGCCCCTTCTCGGCCTCCCCGCGTCCTGGGCGGTCGGGCTCTTCGGCCATTGCTTTTCGTGCAGGCGTCCTGGAACCTTTCAGGGGGGAACAACCACAGACACAATTCATCGTCGATCTCCAGAAAACATGGGAAAATATAGGAAAAGGGGGGGGGGGAGACAAACAAAAACATAACATATGGGAAAATATGGGGGATCGTGTTATTTATGTTTTTTATCCGTAAGGGCTTCGCCCCCTGCCGCCGGCCCCCTCTCTCGGAGAATGGGCCATGGAAGAGCGAAGTCATGAGGCTTTGGCTTTGCCGTGAAGCAGTGTCGGGACTTATTTGTTTTTCGACCCTGACCCTGCCGATCTGCGTGGGGGGTGCCGCCCAATTTCAGACCTGTGGCACATCCCTTCTGTTTTTTGGACCCTGACCTTACGGATCTGCGTGAGGGGTGTCATCGGATTTCAGAAGTGTGGCAAATTCTTTGTGTTCTTGGACCCTGACCCCGCCGATCTGCGTGAGGGGTGCCACGGGATTTCAAACATGCGGGAAATCCCATGTGTTTTTGGACCCTGACCCCGCCGGTCTGCGTGAGGGGTGCCACCGAATTTCAAAAATGCGGGAAATCCCATGTGTTTATTTGACCCTGACCCCGCCGATATGCGTGAGGGGTGCCACCGAATTTCAGAAATGTGGCAAATTCCTTGTGTTTGTGGACCCTGACCCAGCCGATTTGCGTGAGGGGTGACAGGAAATTTCAGAAATGTGGCAAATCCTTTTTGTTTTTGGACCCTGATCCTGCCGATCTGCGTGAGGGGTGCCACCGAATTTGAAACATGCGGCAAATCCTTTGTGTTTTTGGACCCTGACCCCGCCGATCTGCGTGAGGGGTGCCACGGGATTTCAAACATGCGGGAAATCCCATGTGTTTATTGGACCCTGACCCCGCCGATCTGCGTGAGGGGTGCCACCGAATTTCAGAAATGTGGCAAATCCCTTTGGTTTTTTGATCCTGACCCCGCCGATCTGCGTGAGGGGTGCCACCGAATTTCAGAAATGTGGCAAATCCCTTGTGTTTCTGGACCCTGACCCCGCCGATCTGCGTGAGGGGTGTAAATTTTTACCCCCCCAGGAATTCTGAGAACCCTCCAGGAGGGCGCTAACGAGGGCACTTTTCGGCTCCCCCCCCCTCGCGCGGACAGTAACAATTTACAGTAGGAAGCAGAAAGCAGTACTGTAACAATGGAAACTGGAAACTGGAACTGGTGCAGCGACCAGCAAGCTTAAGCCTCGCAGCCTGATGGCCCCGCAAGGGGGCCGGCGGATTTGTGTGTCCCAGGGCCCCTTCAACCTTGCCAGAAAGATCCCGGGGTTGCGAGGGGCCCTCGGTTTTCGGGGGCCGCCACTCTCTGCCTCGCGGACTGCCTCGAGGCGTGAGCGAAGAGGAGACGCGCCAGCCAGGCAGGGAGTCTCGAGAGCGTGTCCCTAACCAGTCCCGAGGAGGACGATTGGCTTTTCGCCCAGGGGGGCCCCTTCGCTGGCCTGCAGGGAAGCCTGGCCCAGCCCCCTTGCAGTGACCAAGCGGTCAAAAGGTCCATTCCGATGGGCCCTTGGGTGTCTTGCCCGACCTTTCGGCCTCTCTCAATATTTCCCTTAGTGGCGTGGCGGTGCACCTCTTTCTCCTCCTACTCCTCCTCCTCTTCCTCCTCCTCTTTCTCCTCCTCATCCTCTTCCTCCTCCTCTTCCTCCTCCTCCTCCTTCTCTTTCTCCTCCTCCTCCTCCTTTTCCCCCCCATCCTCCTCCTCCTCCTCCTCCTCCTCCTCCTCCTCCTCCTCCTCCTCCTCCAGCGCGCGCGCGTGCTCTCGGGAGAGGGATCTGCAGGATGACGCATGGAGGGACGCCTTGACCCCCAGTCACCCATTCCTCGCCGGTCGGGGCTGGGGTGCCACAAACCTGTCCAGGAACGTGGGGCGTCCTCATCGGGGGCCTGACGCCGATCAATCAGCGATGCACCGTCTGTTCCAAGTCATTGTTCCGCTTCCCCCCAGATGCGGATGATTATGATGATGATGATGATGATGAGGAGGAGGAGGAGGCGGAGGAGGAGGACGTCCTCTTCTCTTAACTACTGCCCTTTCTCCGGTCTCCAGGGCAGAGGCCAAAGTGGAAATTAATGATATCGCTGGTTGCTTTGGAGTGGCTGTTCGAGCCATCATTGATTTTCCGATGTGGGGTAGTCGAAGGGCCCGCTGATGACTAGAATGGAAGGGGGCTCTTTGTTCGACTCCTCTTCTTTGTCCTCATGCTTACATTTTAGCCCCGCTCCTTTCGCCAAAGACCCAACACATCAAACAAGTTATATCATACATTTCATCATTTCCATACTTGCCCAAACAACCTTGATAATGAGGATGAGTTTCCTCGGTCCTCGAACCTCAAACCTCGATCCTGGATCTGCGATCTCTCCATGAGATCGCGCCTGCTCTTCTTCCCGCGCCCCTCTTGCCTTGCGGCTTCCTGGCGAGGCGCAGGAGATGGCCAGCGAGCTGCTTAACCGTGGCAACGGGTACTTGAAGAAGGTCGTGCAGAGCAAGTTGAGGTGGCCAGGGGCAGGGAGGCATGATGAGGATGGTGGTGGTGGTGGTGATGATGATTACGATGGTGATGATTACGATGGGGATGCTGCTGGGGCTGTTGCTGATGATGATTATGCTGTGGATGGTGATGATGGTGCTGATGATCATGATGACGACGATGCCCACGACGCCGACGACGTGGATGTTTGCAAAAAGTGTGGTTTGAAGGTGCTCACCAAGGATCTGTATGGCCACATCCGTCGGTGCACAGTAGCTGGTTTCGCGATCCCGGCCGGCATGGGGAAGTGTCGCAAGTGCCTCACTTTTGTTAAGGAAACAATGCCGCACCACACATGAGGCCAAATGCAGGGGCAGCGACATTTTGAATCGTACATGTCGTAAGTGTGGGCTCGTCTTTCCACCCCCTCCGCCGGGGCAGCTTTGCCGGCCGCTGGGCAACCACGAGAAATGGTGCCAGGGGACTGCTGCTGCGAAGGCAAAGGCCAAGGCAGTTGCGGCGGCGGCGGCTGCCCTGGGGGCGGCCCCAGTGCCCCCCCCCCGCCGGTGGTGGTAGGCGTCGCTAAACCAAAGGCGCAACCTCAGGCAAAACCGAAGGCGGGGGCGGGTGCGAAGGCGGGCCCCCGCGGGAAGGCGGGCGCAGCCCAGGCAGCTGGCAAAGCCCGGGGGGCGGACGCCAAGGCCAAGGCAGCTCAGAGGCTGGGCGGAGTAGTCCGGAGACGCCCGGCTAGCCCAGCCCGGTAGGAACCTGCGGTTGCTTGCTTGCTTTTTTTGGGGGAGGAGGGCTCGGGCGCAGGGCGTGTGGGTTGTGGGTGGTGCCCGGCCAAAGGTGGTTGTGCTGTGTTTCTGCGTTTCTCGCCTGCAGCTGCCGGCGGCGCCCCTGAGGCAATCCGTCACGAGCTGATGCAGGCCCCGTGCCTTGCATCGGTGGCGGCTCGGGTAGGGTTCGCCCTGCCCTCTCTGTGCCAAGCGAGCCTCGGGCTCGCCGCAGCCGCCCCCGGCCCCACTGCAGAGGGGGCCAACCAACGGTCGCTGTGCCGCCTGCCGCCTGCATGCCCCGCGCCCGCTGTTGTTTTCTCTTGCTGGTTGTTGTGCTGCGCCTGCTCGTGCCCTTGCGTTTATGCGATGTTTTTGTTTGTCCTTGGACCGCTACTCTCGGACCGTCGTTCGCAGCCAAAAAAAAGAGGAGGAAGGGCTCCACCTCCCCCCCTTGCCTGTCCTGTCCCCCTTCCCCCTCCCCCTCCTCCTTCCTCTCCCCCCCTCCCGCTCCGCCCTCCTTCTCCCCTCCTCGGATCCCTTCCTCGCGTGCACGCGATGCTTGGCGCTCGCCGATCTCGACAGCTGCTCACGGCTGCCCCCCTCCCGGCGCACCGGATAGCGCCCGAAGGCCGTTCGACGCCCCGTGTCTCGGGGTCCCTGCGGGGTGGTTTTGGTGGGCGGGGGGTGTGGGGGTGGGGTTTGGGGGTGGGGTGGGGTGGGGTGGGGGCGGGGGCCCTCGTGGGCAGGGTGTGTCGGGAGGTCATCGGACAGGCTTTCCGCCGTTGGTCCACCGACGGTCCTGTAGTGTGTCTGTCTGTGGTGATGATGGCCGTTGCGCGCAGGGCCGAGACCGACCGCCGCCTTCAGAGCCTGGAGGAGCGCCAGTCGATCACGGAGGATCGTCTGGCGCGGGTGGCCGGCCAGGTCGAAGAGATCGCGCGGTCCACGAGCTTAGTGCTCGAAGACTTCCCTTCGGTGGAAGAGGCCTGGCTGGCGCACGGAGAGACGGCGCAGTACCGCGAGTTGCGGGAGGCGGTGCCGGACGCGATCGGGAAGGACCTGGCCACGCACCTGTCGGTGCCCTGGCCCTTGCTTGCCCTGGGCGCCGCGGTGCCCGCCGGTGGGTTCCCGGCGGAGACGTCGTGGGTGCGGTCTGTGTTGGAGGAGCTCAGGCAGCAGGGTACGGTCAAGGCGGTGTATTCGCAGAGCAGGTGGGATGACGCTGCCCAGAACAGGGTCAGGATCCCAGGTGTCTTCCGTGCGAAACTCCGCTTAGGGGCGTCCTCCCTGGGGGTGCAGCAGGCCGTGGCGGCCCTGGACCACCCCCTGCGCAGGGCGCGTGGACACCCCCGCCCGCGCGCAGGCTCCTGTACTTGGAGCGGGCGGAGCAGGAACGCCAGCGGGCCTGGCAGGCCAAAGGTAAGGCCCAGGGCAAAGCGCAGAGCAAGGCGCAGGGCAAGGGCAAGGGCCGGAAGGGCAAGGGCCGGAAGGGCAAGGGCGTCGGCGGGTCCGGTGTCCTGCAGGCCGGCAGGGGCGGCCAGGGCGGCAAGGGCGGCCCGGGGGCGGCGCCCCCGGCGGGTGGGGCCCCCCGGCCGCCGCCCCGGCTGCTGCCGCTGCCGCAGCAGGGGGGGCGGCGGCCGCGCCGGCCGGGGCGCTCGCGCCTGGCGCGGCAGCGGCGGGGGCCCCCCCCGCGCCCTCGAGGCGGCTGGCGGCCGCGTCCGCCGCGGACGCCTAAGAGTGGCGACGGCCTATGCGCGCCCCTGGATACGGGGGCCCCGCGGGGGCGGGTAGGCTAGCAGGGGGGCCATGCGTGTCAGCTGGAATTCGCGGCTTGGCCGCTCAGGACCAGCGCCTCTCTTTTTGTGTCGTGGTGATTCATATCTGTCATCCTGCAAGGGGGGCTGAGGGGAGGGAAGGAAGGAGGATGTTTTTTCTTTCTCCTGTGCTTTGTGTTGGAATTAAAAACGGAAGCCTCCATCGTCCCCACCATGCCCGTCCTCTCACACATCGCCTGCTGGTTGCTTGGTGATGCATTGTCCGCCTGTCATCGCGGATGAAGGTGGGGGAGGGGAGAGGGGTTGGTGTTCCTTTTGTTTTTCTTCCCCCGGGAGGAAAACGGAGGCCTCCACCGCCCCCTCCACGCCCTCTCACAGGTGGTGGTGCGATCTGCTGCGAGATCACTACCCCTTCCAGCCTCGTCGTTCCTCCCCCTTTCCTCTCCCCCCCCCGGCCTCCGGCGACCCCCCCGGAACTGCTCCCTCCTCGCCCGTCGTCGTCGTCCCCCCCCCCTCCGTTTTAGGATTTTTTGAAGGTCTACCGGCCCGCCCCGCGGTCGCTCGCGGCGGCCAACGCGCGGGAGGCGGAGACGGAGACGGAGAGACGTCGACGACGATGACGGCGACGACGATGATGATGTTGATGCTGATGCTGATGCTGATGGTGATGGTGGTGGTGGTGGCGATGATTTTGATGATGGGTAAGAAGCATATGACGATGATGATGGTTGTGGTTGTGGTGGTGCTGATAGTGGTGGTGGTGTTGGTGATGGTGGTGGTAGTGGTGATGGAGGAGGACGTCCGCCGAGTTTTTTTCGTTTTCCTCGGCCAAAAGAAGAGCCCGGGGGGCCATCCGCAATCGATCCAGCAAGAGAGACCTGGCAGGCTGGACCTCGGGGGGCGTTCGCGACCCGCTTTGAACGGACGGTCGTGCGACTGCCACCGACTAGCCCTGCAAATCGCTCTCGGTCCTCGTCCCCCTCCACTTCAAGGCGTGTGGGCCCCTTTCCCTAACGGAGAAGGAGGGCCGGTTACATTCTTGGAATCGCATTCTTTCTGGGTGCCAAGCAAATTTGATGATGGTGTTACAGTCGCCGTCGGGCCCTGCGGCGATGAGGCCTTGGAAGCAGATTCGGATGCATACGCACTTCGCGTATGTAGTGTCGTCCGCTGTTGAAAACATTCTCCTCTTCCGTCTGCTTATCGCCAGGACGACCGCTCATATTCACACCGACGCATGTACATATTATAAACATGATGACCAGCGTGGACCCCAAACAGTGATTTGTTGCAATCTATGCGGTCAAATCTAGGTGGTGCAATCCAATTTGCAGAGATTGAAGTCGTCAATTCAACTGCTTGCGCAGTCATCCCACCTTCCCACCCGCAACTTGTTTTGCACAACCCATGGGGTCACGATTACGGTGAGTACTTGCCACTGACTGGCGCATCACTGCGGCTGCGCTAACGTGCAAGCTCGCCCGCGGAACGGCCAGCTGGTTTGGTACAGTCGACGCGGCCGCGGTTGCGCTTGTCGATGGGAACTTCCTAGCGCGTCTCAAAAGTTGCGCTGCCGCGCGGCACTTCAGTGCGATTCGGTGACTCGGGCGGGCGCGGTATCATGTTGATTTCGGCAAAGGGAGGCAACGATGATGATTGTAGCGGTGGTGGTGGCGACGATGAAGATGAGGACCGCGAGGCCAATGACGGTTCCGATGCTGGTGACGACGATGGTGACAATGATCATGATGATGTCCATGTGTCAGTGATGTCGGATGTTCGTTTATGATGGTGGAAATGGCGGCGATTGGCGATGACGATAACGGCGGTGATGCGGTGGCACTGATGAGGGTGATGGTGAGGAGTTGGCCGCGCGGATATGTACTAAACTTGGCACGCTTTTCGTTGAAATGTGTCGAACGCCAATTGCTTTTCTACGGACTTCGGCCTCGTAGCGGCGCGTGCGTATGGCCAGCATGATATTATGTGATACGCGCTCGTGTGTTGGGTGCATGCTGGATAATCGCGGATTCACCGCGTGTTGAGTTGAGAACGATTTGTTTGGTGGGATCTCTGAATCCATATGGTTTCTGTACGTGCAGTAAGTGCGCGGCGGTATCATCTCTGCAGTCTTTGTGATGAGAGACCTTCGGGTGTTCAGTGTGTTGATGTTGAAATACTTGCAAGCATTGGTTGGTTTGGTATGGTTTCGGCATGTGCGCGCGCTTGGACTTGGTGCACTTTTGCGAAAAAAGTGTTTCTTGACAAATGATATACCGTTATCGGTCATAGATTGTGTGCGCACAGTATCACTTGACAGTAAGCGGGGGGTAGCATCACATGTAATTTGCAGTGCCCTCGGAGCGATCGCCCCGGGGAGGGGGGAATATGCAACCCATGAGCTGCAGTCCATGTGATGCAACGCAATGCCAAGCAACGACCAGCAAGACAAGGCATTGCGAAGCAAAACAGAGCAACTCAACGCAACGCAAAGCAACGCACCGCAATGCAACGCAATGCAACGCAATGCGAGGAAATGCAAAGCAACGCGGAGAAATGCAACGCAATGCGACGCAATACAAAGCAGTGCAACAAAAACAATGCGATGTAAAGCAGTGCGAAGCAATTCATGTAATGCAATGTAAAGCAATGCAATGCAATGCAAGGCGATTCAAAACAAGGCAAAGTAAAGCACATCAAAGCAATGCAACGTGACATAAAGCAATGCAATGCATTGCACAGCACAGTAAACCAGTGCAACCCAATGCAAAACAATGAAACTTGATGCACACCTATGCACAGCACTGTAAACCAACGCAAGGCGAAGCAAAGCAACGCAATGCAAACCAATGCCACCCAAAGAAAATCAATGCACGCAAGTGAATCGAATGTAAAGGAATGCATAGACATGCGACATGCAGAGCAATGCAAAGCAAAGTGATGCACAGCATTGATAAGCACTGCGAAGACAGGCACCGCAATGCAAAGTAACGTGAAGCAATGCAAAGACAACAAAGCAATGCACAGCAATGCGAAGCAATACACAGCAACTCAATGCAATGCAATGCAAAGCAATGCAATGCAAAGCAGTGCAAATCAATGCAAGGCAATGTAAAGCAGTGCAGAGCAATGCAATTCAATGCGACACAATGCAAAGCAGATCATGGCCATGCAAAGCAATGCAGGGCAAGGCAACGCAATGCAACCCAGCGCAAAGCAATGCAACTTCATGCACACCTATGCACAGGACTGCAAAGCAATGCCAAGCAGTGAACAGCAATCCAACGCAAAGCAATGCAAATCAACGAAAAGCAAAGCAATGCCAAGCAATGCCAAGCAATGCAAAGCAATGCAACGCAATTCGTTGCAATGGAAAGCAAAACAATGAAATGAAGAGCAGTGCGAAGCACTGCAACGCAACGCAACGCAAAGCAATTTAAAGCAATGCAAATCAACGCAAATCAATGCAATGCGATACACAGCAATGCAACTTAAAGCAATGCAGACCAATGCAAAGTAATGCAAACTAATTCAAACTAATACAACGCAATGCAAAGCAAAGCAATTCAATGCAAAGCAATGCAAAGCAATGCAAAGCAATGCAAAGCAATGCAAAGCAATGCAAAGCAATGCAAAGCAATGCAACGCAGCGCGGCGACGGGCGGCGACGAGCCGGCGGGACCGCCACTGCGGCTCAGCGGCGATGGCAGCGACCGGCGGCGAAGAGCCAGCGGGACCGACACCGTGGCTCATTTACGACGCTAGCGACGGTCGGCGACGAGCCGGCTCGGCCGACACCAGGTCACAGGTACCTTAGAACACAAGTAAGAGCCCCTGAGTGCAAGCATTGTTTGGGGACCATGCTCATTACGTGTATGTATTTGTATGCATGTATGTATGTATGTACGTACGTATGTATGTATGTACGTACGTACGTATGTATGTATGTATGTATGTATGTATGTACGTAGATACACATATTTCCGTATGTGTGCGGATACAACGTATACATATGTATACGTGTATATGAATGCATCAGTGTTCAAGCGATTGCGCAGACTTTCAACACTGGAGCTTGTCAGTGCTATCTGGTACAGAAGAGGGCGAGTGGGTGGTGGCAGTCAGTGTCTCTCGTCCTCGCAAGGCCTCCCATGGGAGACAAATCGCGGCGGAAGGTTTTTGGACCGTTTTTGCCATTTGGGGGTCTTCATTTTCCATCGTCTTTTCTGTGTACTTCCATCTCGAACCGATGATCCACGACGGCGCGAAGGCGCGGCTGGGCGCGCAGGGCGGCTCGTTCGGCCGACTCACGCGACCCTCCCCCTCCCCTCCTAATCCTTAACCTCCCCCTCTGCCTTTCCTCCTCGAGGATCGAGGTTCGAGGATCGACGCTTTTCCGCACTTTGGAGCTCTTCTGGGGGGCCTCGGGGGGGCCCCGAGGGTCTTCGGAGGCTTCTGGGGTCCTCCAGGGACCTCCACAGACTTTCCAGACCTCTCTGGAGATTTCCGGAGTCTCTTGGAGACCAGCTCATCCCTGGTCGCCTTGAAGGGAAGGGTTCTTGAGGATAGCGGGTCCGAGACCTCGGGGGCTTTCACCCCGAGTCGTCTCCTGGCATTCTTGGCTTCCGGCGGAGCGCTGAAGTGTCCTTACAACGGCGAGGAGCTACGGGGGCTCGTGCCGAGCTGCTCCGCCTCCGTCGGTCTTGCCGCCCCCCTCTTGCCGCGCGTGCGGCGTGTGGCGCGTCGTCCTCGCACGAGGCGCGGGCAAGTCCGGGAGCGCTGTCTGCTCAGACTCTGGCTTTCTGCGCCAGCGGCGTCCGAGCCTCGGCACCTACTTCGGCGGCTTTCCTGCCGCTTCTTGTTGGGAGGGTTGTGAGGGCCAGGGTCCGAGTGCTGAAGGCCTTCGCTGTAGTCGGTCGGGCCTCCTCCCACGGCCAGCGACACTCTCCCTGAGACTGAG